ACACACACACACACACACACACACACACACACACAGACACACACACACACACACACACACACACACACACACACACACACACACACACACAGACACACACAGACACACACACACACACACACACACAGACACACACACACACACACACACACACACACACACACACACACACACACACACACACACACACACACACACACACACACACACACACAGACACACACACAGACACACACACACACACACACACACACACACACACACAGACACACACAGACACACACACACACACACACACACACACACACACACACACACACACACAGACACACACACAGACACACACAGACACACACAAACCGGCTTCTTCTGGTTCCTCGGCTGAACTTGAGCCCACATACAGTATCGCCCAAAGCTCTAACACAAAACTGCAGTTAGTTTGAACCTGGGAGACTGTGTCAGCAACACACAAGAGGAAAAACTCATATAAAGATTTACTAAAATAATAATAACAATAATATCGTCTCATTTTGTTCCTGTGTGAACTTCTTCTCTGTTTTCGGAGTCAGGCCCCCTGCAGTGCACCCACTCAGCAGCTACTAAAATAAATACATGCAGTTTTCCCAGCTTCTTATTACCACTTACTGTTGATAGAATTTGGTTTTCAATGCAAAAACCTACCATCAAATACTATCTAAACAAAATACTTAAATACCATCTCGATATATTTTTAAGATTGTTTCTTCTTCTTCCTGGTTAGAGAGAGATTTAAAGGATGTTAAAGTGGACCAGGTCTGAGGAGGGGACTTTGAGTCTGAGCAGAAACTTCAGACCAGTTTAACATAAACACTGGGGACTCTCTGTTCTGTACATTATGTGCCAGCAACAAACCACACGGCTCTACGGGCGCCCCCTGCTGGTCACGGAGGGCACGGCACGGCACACACGCAGGGCCAAACTGGGTCAAAGCTGGTCACGTTTTAGTGTTAGCAGCTGGACGTGACTCAGAACCAGGAGCAGAAGGATTATTTAGATTTTTGTTGTTGTAAGACGTGTTTCTTGTCAATGCAGGAGGGTCTAAGGCAGGGGTGTCCAAACATTTGAGTAAGAGGGCCACTTTAGTTCACCAGACTAGTCCAGGGTCCACATGTTTACCATCGCACCAGCTACATTAGCACCATTAACCATTAACACGATCAGTAACTGTATTCCAGACGTACTGGGCTTTAGAACGAGGTCTATGTGGGCTGAGCTGAAGTTGGATGGATGACACAGTGAACTTGTGTTTAGGATCTCAAAGAGTGGTTTGGGTTCGCGAGGCAGAGGGCCACATACGATGAGACTGAGGGTCGCAATTGTCCCCCGGGCCTGAGTTTGGACCTGCCTGGTCTAAGGACAGATCCAGGACACATTGGTCTCAGTCTCTTATGGACCAATGACTTTATGTGTTTTTATTTTGATTTAATGTCTTTGAACTGTTTGACTCTCTGATCTGTGTCGGTGAACTGAACGATTTTACACAAAGAGGTTGAATTGATTTAATAAATACATAAATGGCAACTCAGATCACATGGGTTCAAAACTCTTTCCCGAGCCTGAAAGAAGGAGGATTGTTTATACTTCTATAATACACACACCGTTAAAGCCAGTAGTGGGAGGGGAAACTGGAGCACCCGGAGGAAACCTACACAGACACGGGGAGAACATGCAAACTCCACTCAGAATGACCCTGTTCCGACCGTGATTGAAACCCAGGACCTTCTTGCTGAGAGGCTAGAGTGCATCCTGTTCAGTTGTGCTCTGTCGCCCTCTAGTGGATGATCCAAGTCCCTGTCCAACTGTGGGAAATGTATCATGTGGTTTTTGTGACTTTTTCTCTGAGCTGAAGTCCTTTGAGCGCGTGCGTGTTTGGGTCTGAACAAAGTGATCATGAAAGTCAGGAGCAAACACAGAAACTGCTCTGAACTTGGTGCTAAACATGGATTACTCAGAGAACGAAAGATTATGTGTAAGAATAAAAATACTAATAATAACAATATATATTGGATTTATATAAGGCTTTTCAAGAACTCGACGCGACAGGGTTCAGGACACACACACACACATAGACACACACGTACACACACAGACACACACGTATACACACACTCAGACACGCACAGAGACACACACACACCAACACACACAAACTCAGACACGCACACACACACTCAGACACGCACACATACACAGACACACAAAACCACACTCTGAGTAATCTGAATACTACTCTAAGTACTCTGAATACTACTCTAAGTACTCTGAATACTCTGAGTACTTGTACTTGTGGAGTAGACCTGTCATTCATAATTCACGCCGCACGCTCGGCCTTGATCTTGCGGCGGTCGTTCTGTTGTAAACAAACCCGGAAAGAACCGTCGGCTCCGATTTCATTTGTGACTTTAATCAACGACATCATCATCAAAGGAAAAGTCAAAACCCAACGATCAAAGAACCACACACTGGACCAACAAAAGCAATAACCAGTCTGCTTCTGATTAGAGTTCCATCTTTAAAATATAGTAAGATAAGATATGTGCAGGTGTTGATGGATGAGGCCAGGGTCAGAGGTCACGTCGTCACACCATGAAACAGACATTGGGACATCGGCTGAATAACAATGAACAAACTACAGTCATACAGATAAAGTAGGAAGGAGGAGAGGATAGTGCTGTTTTCACACTTCTCCAGCAGGGGGCGCCATACGCAGCTTGACTGACAGTCTAAGATGTTTAGCCTTCCCTTAAGCCTAGTGTACACTCGCGCTAGTCTGGGCTAGCCTAGCCGGGTCCCGACTCCAAAACTAGACAAACAACCTGACCAAATGCTAATTTGAAGAAGAGTGTTTTAAGCCTGGCCTTAAACGTAGAGACCGTATCTGCTTCCTTAACGTGGGTGAAGCTGATTCCACAGTAAAGGAACTTGGAGCTAAATGCTCTGCCACCGACAGTGCTTTTTAAAACCTTAGGAACCACCGGACGTCTGGCGTTTTGCGAGCGCAGTGCTCGGCTTTGTTGATAAGACATTAACATGTCTTGAAGAAGCCAAGCCATTTATGGCTTTATATGTTAAGAGAAGGATTTTAAACTTTATTCTGTACTCCACAGGAGCCAGTGGAGTGATTTTAACACCGGAGTTATGTGCTCCCTCCTTTTGGTCCCTGTTAAGATCCGAGCTGCTGTATTCTGAACGAGGCTTTAGGGCACGCTGCCAGCAGCAGCATTTTATAAATAAAATAAGTCTCTTTGGTCCAATTCTGCTTCAACTGTAATGTTAGGTCCTGCATAAAAACTTAAATAGTTCTATCAGTTTTAGGATGTATTCATTATCAATAATTAAAGGGTCGAGTGCAGCTAATTGGATTTCAGCAGCAGCAGCAGTAGTAGTAGTAGTGGTAGTAGTAGTAGTAGTAGTAGTAGTAGTAGTAGTAGTAGTAGTAGTGGTAGTAGTAGTAGTAGAAGTAGTAGTAGTAGTAGTGGTAGTAGTAGTAGTAGAAGTAGTAGTAGTAGTAGTGGTAGTAGTAGTAGTAGTAGTAGTAGTAGTGGTAGTAGTAGTAGTAGAAGTAGTAGTAGTAGTAGAAGTAGTAGTAGTAGTAGTAGTAGTAGTAGTAGTAGTAGTAGTAGTGTGTAGTGGTAGTAGTAGTAGTAGAAGTAGTAGTAGTAGTAGAAGTAATAGTAGTAGTAATTGTAGTAGTAGTAGTAGTAGTAGTAGTAGTAGTAGTAGTAGTAGTAGAAGTAGTAGTAGTAGTAGTAGTAGTAGTAGTAGTAGTAGTAGTAGTAGTAGTAGTAGTAGTAGTAGTAGTAGTAGAAGTAATAGTAGTAGTAATTGTAGTAGTAGTAGTAGAAGTAGTAGTAGTAGTAGAAGTAATAGTAGTAGTAATTGTAGAAGTAGCTGAGTTGAAATTGCAGTAATTTGTTCTCCTTTCGTTCTGAGGTGAAACTCGAGCGGTCATCAAAGCTTCAAACATCTCTCGATCTCTGCTACACTTGTCTCAGGTTACCACAGCGACCAGAGCTTCTGTTTGACTGACAGGTCTGTGTGGCCAATGGGAGCAGAGACTTCTCTCTCTGAAGTGTAGAGGTGCCAACGATCAAAGGTACAAAAGTAGACATCATTCAGAGTTTACCTCTCAGGAAATGGAAGCATCAGAACTTTCTCTGATCTGCAGAGACCGAAGGATGTGAAATGTGTTGATAATGATGTCCATAACTATATATATTTTTATTTGACATTTATATAACCAGGAAAGACCCAGAGTCCCGGACCAGAGGCAGCCAAACTTACACATGCTTGCAGATTATAAAAACAATTACACGGACGTCTCAGGGCTGTCAATCTGGATTTAAAAGCAATTAATCAAATACGTTTATTTAATTTTAATGTGAATGGAGTTTTGGAGCGATCTTCCATCTTCTGGTGACAATAGACCTGACTGTGGAAAAGAAACAGCCCCTTTAAAATATGCATGAGTAAAAGTACACCAGGAAACCACACTCACCAGGTCACACACCGGAGCCACACTCACCTGGTCACAGACCGGAGCCAAGACCAGGACTCTAGCTCACAGACCGGAGCCAAGACCAGGACTCTAGCTCACAGACCGGAGCCAAGACCAGGACTCTAGCTCACAGACCGGAGCCAAGACCAGGACTCTAGCTCACAGACCGGAGCCAAGACCAGGACTCTAGCTCACAGACCGGTGCAAAGACCAGGACTCTAGCTCACAGACCGGTGCAAAGACCAGGACTCTAGCTCACACTCTGGACCAAAGACCCGAACTATGGCGTGTCTTTGAGGCCAGTCCCGGGGTCTCTGTAGCTGCAGGGGTGAAGCGTACGGGACCAGGGCATCGCGGGCCTGAGACCAGCGGGCCTGAGACCAGCGGGCCTGAGACCAGCTGACCAACACACCACTGCTGTCGGGAGGTGTTCCTTTTACAATCTGACAGCTGGGCCTGAGCCATGAACCCTTTGTGGAAATCCTACAAGAGCAAAGTGCTCAAGACCATCAACCCCGAGTACGAGGAGGACGCAGCCGAGGAGGTGAGTTCACATTCAGACTAGATTAGATTAGAGCCATGTATCAATATAACCCATGCACAAGCTTATTTGCATTTGCAGTAAAACCACATTGGAAAAACTGTGCGAGACCCAGAGTGTCCCAGACAGAGCAGATAGAACCCCCCAGAACCCCCCAGAGTCCCCCAGAGTCCCCTAGAGTCCCCTAGAGTCCCCTAGAGTCCCCTAGAGTCCCACGGTCCACTGCACAGTTCTGCTCATTAAGTTGGTGTTTGGTGTTTGGATCATGTGTTATTCATGGAGGACAGAGGAGCTCCGTGATCATGTTGTATCTTTGTCTCTAACGACGATTTGTCTCCGCTGTCAACAATCACCTGAAGTCTGTTGTTGATGTGTCAGAGAATAATTCTTTTCTCTTACATCACCAACACAGATTAGAGAATCAAACAGTTAAAACTAGGGATTAACTGATGCAGCGGCTGGACATCGGTATCGGACCATGTTTGCCTTCGTAACAAAAAAGGACATTGACCGATGGTGGCACGTGTGAAGAGACACCAGATTCAGATTCAGATTGATTCAGACCCAGAAATGGATTAAGGGGAATAAGATGGATGGATTTTTAACAGTCATTACATGAAAATAGAAAATGTATTCACTTTGGACTCACGGTCCGCCACACCTGTCCCTGGGCTGAAGACCAACGCCCATAAATGTTGGTAAAGCCCATAAAAATATCGTTGAATGTGGAGTGTCCTGGATCCTCCTTGGACCATCTGCAAACAAACTCTAGAACCATCAACAAGTTTGTAAAAAGTGCAGCTGTAGCTCCAGGTGTCTATTGTTCTTGTGTATTCTTTGAACTATCGCGGCCTCGCTCTTGCTAACAGCTGTTTGAAATGCCTGGTGCAGAGTTTTGAAATGCGTGTTGCAGCTGTTTGAAATGCCTGGTGCAGAGTTTTGAAATGCCTGGTGCAGCTGTTTGATGTTGCAGCTGTTTGAAATGCCTGGTGCAGCTGTTTGATGTTGCAGCTGTTTGAAATGCCTGGTGCAGCTGTTTGATGTTGCAGCTGTTTGAAATGCCTGGTGCAGCTGTTTGAAATGCCTGGTGCAGCTGTTTGAAATGCCTGGTACAGCTGTTTGAAATGCCGGGTGCAGATGTTTGAAATGCCTGGTGCAGCTGTTTGAAATGCCTGGTGCAGCTGTTTGAAATGCCTGGTGCAGCTGTTTCAAATGCCGGGTGCAGATGTTTGAAATGCCTGGGGATAACTGTTTTGTACTGTCAGAAACACCTGTACAGTGTTGACCCAGATCTGCGAGGCCTGAAACCTGAGACTGAGGCCTGGCTGCAGGTCCTCTGTGTATCTGACAGGGATGATTCTCAGGGGATAATGGAGAAAGTACAGATAGTGCACAGGAGTGTAGAGGAGAGAGTGTAGAGGAGAGAGTGTAGAGGAGAGAGTGTAGAGGAGAGAGTGTAGAGGAGAGAGTGTAGAGGTGAGAGTGTTATGAGAGAGTGTAGAGGAGAGAGTGTAGAGGAGAGAGTGTAGAGGAGAGAGTGTAGAGGAGAGAGTGTAGAGGAGAGAGTGTAGAGGAGAGAGTGTAGAGGAGAGAGTGTAGAGGAGAGAGTGTAGAAGAGAGAGTGTAGAGGAGAGAGTGTAGAGGAGAGAGTGTAGAGGAGAGAGTGTAGAGGAGAGAGTGTAGAGGAGAGAGTGTAGAGGAGAGAGTGTAGAGGAGAGAGTGTAGAAGAGAGAGTGTAGAGGAGAGAGTGTAGAGGAGAGAGTGTAGAGGAGAGAGTGTAGAGGAGAGAGTGTAGAGGAGAGAGTGTGAGAGGAGAGAGTGTAGAAGAGAGAGTGTAGAAGAGAGAGTGTAGAGGAGAGAGTGTAGAAGAGAGAGTGTAGAGGAGAGAGTGTAGAGGAGAGAGTGTAGATTTTGATTTTTTTTTTGATTTTTAACAGACCTTTATTTGTCCATTAAACAGGTTAAATTACATCACATATTACACATTGTAATGTATGGGAAAAAACATAGTTTAAAAATCCGGACATAAAAGTGCAAAAAGTGCAAATACTGGCAATAAATAAACAATGCAACACTTCACACACTTCAGTTCATAGGTTTACAACGATAAAAAGGCAGAAAAAACCAGCTCCCCCTCCCTCACAGAGCACACCTCCCTCACAGAGCACACCTCCCTCACAGAGCACACCTCCCTCACAGAGCACACCTCCCTCACAGAGGACAGCTCCCTCACAGAGCACACCTCCCTCACAGAGGACAGCTCCCTAAACCCCCAGCGCTCCTCAAACCCCTCCTGATCCCCATTTATCCTGTAGAGACCGAACTCCAGCCTGAGTCTGGCCTGGACCATCCGGACCAGCAGAGCCCTGGGACTGATCTCACTCTGGTCCTGGACCATCCTCCTCCTGCTCACATAGACGGCCATCTTGGCCTGACCCACCAGAAAACTGAGCAGCTGCCCCCTCCTCCTGCTGCGGCTGGAGTACCTGACCCCCCCCACAAACACCTGAGCATTAAACTCTGCCCCCAGTGAAGTGAAGAGGCCCCTCAGCAGCTCCAGCATGTGCCTGAGCCTCCCACACTCCCAGAAGCAGTGGAACACTGTCTCCCTCTCCCCACAGAAGGGACAGCCCTCCCCCACAGCCCTGTTCACCTACACACAAAGGCATTGACTGCTATCGCCCCATGCAGCAGCCTCCACTGCAGGTCTCCCTGTCTCTTGGTCAGAGGGGGCTTGTACAGGGCCCCCCAGGCCGGGCTGAAGGCGGGGCCCAGATGTGACCTCCACACAGTGTCTGCTCGGTCACACAGTCTCTGGTGGTTCAAGGCCTGGACCATGAGGCTGTAAAACTCCTCTCACTCCTCGCACTCCTCTAGAGAGTGTAGAGGAGAGAGTGTAGAGGAGAGAGTGTAGAAGAGAGAGTGTAGAGGAGAGAGTGTAGAGGAGAGAGTGTTATGGAGAGAGTGTAGAGGAGAGAGTGTAGAGGAGAGAGTGTAGAAGAGAGAGTGTAGAGGAGAGAGTGTTATGGAGAGAGTGTAGAGGAGAGAGTGTAGAGGAGAGAGTGTAGACGAGAGAGTGTAGAGGAGAGAGTGTAGAGGAGAGAGTGTTATGGAGAGAGTGTAGAGGAGAGAGTGTAGAGGAGAGAGTGTAGAAGAGAGAGTGTAGAGGAGAGAGTGTAGAGGAGAGAGTGTAGAGGAGAGAGTGTAGAGGAGAGAGTGTAGAAGAGAGAGTGTAGAAGAGAGAGTGTAGAGGAGAGAGTGTAGAGGAGAGAGTGTAGAGGAGAGAGTGTAGAGGAGAGAGTGTAGAGGAGAGAGTGTAGAGGAGAGAGTGTAGAGGAGAGAGTGTAGAAGAGAGAGTGTAGAGGAGAGAGTGTTATGGAGAGAGTGTAGAGGAGAGAGTGTAGAGGAGAGAGTGTTATGGAGAGAGTGTAGAGGAGAGAGTGTAGAAGAGAGAGTGTAGAGGAGAGAGTGTAGAGGAGAGAGTGTAGAGGAGAGAGTGTTATGGAGAGAGTGTAGAGGAGAGCGTGTAGAGGAGAGAGTGTAGAAGAGAGAGTGTAGAGGAGAGAGTGTAGAGGAGAGAGTGTAGAGGAGAGAGTGTAGAGGAGAGAGTGTAGAAGAGAGAGTGTAGAGGAGAGAGTGTAGAGGAGAGAGTGTAGAGGAGAGAGTGTAGAGGAGAGAGTGTAGAGGAGAGAGTGTAGAGAGAGAGAGTGTAGAGGAGAGAGTGTAGAAGAGAGAGTGTAGAGGAGAGAGTGTAGAGGAGAGAGTGTAGAGGAGAGAGTGTAGAGGAGAGAGTGTAGAGGAGAGAGTGTAGAAGAGAGAGTGTAGAGGAGAGAGTGTAGAGAGAGAGAGTGTAGAGGAGAGAGTGTAGAGGAGAGAGTGTAGAGGAGAGAGTGTAGAGGAGAGAGTGTAGAGGAGAGAGTGTAGAGGAGAGAGTGTAGAGGAGAGAGTGTAGAGGAGAGAGTGTAGAGGAGAGAGTGTAGAGGAGAGAGTGTAGAGGAGAGAGTGTAGAGGAGAGAGTGTAGAGGAGAGAGTGTAGAGGAGAGAGTGTAGAGGAGAGAGTGTAGAGGAGAGAGTGTAGAGGAGAGAGTGTAGAGGAGAGAGTGTAGAGGAGAGAGTGTAGAGGAGAGAGTGTAGAGGAGAGAGTGTAGAAGAGAGAGTGTAGAGGAGAGAGTGTAGAGGAGAGAGTGTAGAGGAGAGAGTGTAGAGGAGAGAGTGTAGAGGAGAGAGTGTAGAGGAGAGAGTGTAGAAGAGAGAGTGTAGAGGAGAGAGTGTAGAAGAGAGAGTGTAGAGGAGAGAGTGTAGAGGAGAGAGTGTAGAGGAGAGAGTGTAGAGGAGAGAGTGTAGAGGAGAGAGTGTAGAGGAGAGAGTGTAGAGGAGAGAGTGTAGATTTTGATTTTTTTTTTGATTTTTAACAGACCTTTATTTGTCCATTAAACAGGTTAAATTACATCACATATTACACATTGTAATGTATGGGAAAAAACATAGTTTAAAAATCCGGACATAAAAGTGCAAAAAGTGCAAATACTGGCAATAAATAAACAATGCAACACTTCACACACTTCAGTTCATAGGTTTACAACGATAAAAAGGCAGAAAAAACCAGCTCCCCCTCCCTCACAGAGCACACCTCCCTCACAGAGCACACCTCCCTCACAGAGCACACCTCCCTCACAGAGGACAGCTCCCTCACAGAGCACACCTCCCTCACAGAGGACAGCTCCCTCACAGAGCACACCTCCCTCACAGAGCACACCTCCCTCACAGAGCACAGCTCCCTCACAGAGCACACCTCCCTCACAGAGCACACCTCCCTCACAGAGCACACCTCCCTCACAGAGCACACCTCCCTCACAGAGCACACCTCCCTCACAGAGCACACCTCCCTCACAGAGGACACCTCCCTCACAGAGCACACCTCCCTCACAGAGCACACCTCCCTCACAGAGCACACCTCCCTCACAGAGCACACCTCCCTCACAGAGCACACCTCCCTCACAGAGCACACCTCCCTCACAGAGGACACCTCCCTCACAGAGCACACCTCCCTCACAGAGCACACCTCCCTCACAGAGCACAGCTCCCTAAACCCCCAGCGCTCCTCAAACCCCTCCTGATCCCCATTTATCCTGTAGAGACCGAACTCCAGCCTGAGTCTGGCCTGGACCATCCGGACCAGCAGAGCCCTGGGACTGATCTCACTCTGGTCCTGGACCATCCTCCTCCTGCTCACATAGACGGCCATCTTGGCCTGACCGACGAGGAAACTGAGCAGCCGCCCCCTCCTCCTGCTGCAGCTGGAGTACCTGACCCCCCCCACAAACACCTGAGCATTAAACTCTGCCCCCAGTGAAGTGAAGAGGCCCCTCAGCAGCTCCAGCATGTGCCTGAGCCTCCCACACTCCCAGAAGCAGTGGAACACTGTCTCCCTCTCCCCACAGAAGGGACAGCCCTCCCCCACAGCCCTGTTCACCTACACACAAAGGCATTGACTGCTATCGCCCCATGCAGCAGCCTCCACTGCAGGTCTCCCTGTTTCTTGGTCAGAGGGGGCTTGTACAGGGCCCCCCAGGCCGGGCTGAAGGCGGGGCCCAGATGTGACCTCCACACAGTGTCTGCTCGGTCACACAGTCTCTGGTGATTCAGGGCCTGGACCATGAGGCTGTAGAACTCCTCTCACTCCTCGCACTCCTCTAGAGAGTGTAGAGGAGAGAGTGTAGAGGAGAGAGTGTTATGGAGAGAGTGTAGAGGAGAGAGTGTAGAGGAGAGAGTGTTATGGAGAGAGTGTAGAAGAGAGAGTGTAGAGGAGAGAGTGTAGAGGAGAGAGTGTAGAGGAGAGAGTGTAGAGGAGAGAGTGTAGAGGAGAGAGTGTTATGGAGAGAGTGTAGAGGAGAGAGTGTAGAAGAGAGAGTGTAGAGGAGAGAGTGTAGAGGAGAGAGTGTAGAAGAGAGAGTGTGAAGAGAGAGTGTAGAGGAGAGAGTGTAGAAGAGAGAGTGTAGAAGAGAGAGTGTAGAAGAGAGAGTGTAGAAGAGAGAGTGTAGAAGAGAGAGTGTAGAAGAGAGAGTGTAGAGGAGAGAGTGTAGAAGAGAGAGTGTAGAGGAGAGAGTGTAGAGGAGAGAGTGTAGAGGAGAGAGTGTAGAGGAGAGAGTGTAGAGGAGAGAGTGTAGAGGAGAGAGTGTAGAAGAGAGAGTGTAGAAGAGAGAGTGTAGAGGAGAGAGTGTAGAGGAGAGAGTGTAGAGGAGAGAGTGTAGAGGAGAGAGTGTAGAGGAGAGAGTGTAGAGGAGAGAGTGTAGAGAGAGAGTGTAGAGAGTGTAGTGTAGAGAGAGAGTGTAGAAGAGAGAGTGTAGAGGAGAGAGTGTAGAGAGAGAGTGTAGAGGAGAGAGTGTAGAGAGAAGGTAGGAGAGAGTGTAGAAGAGAGAGTGTAGAGGAGAGAGTGTAGAAGAGAGAGTGTAGAGGAGAGAGTGTAGAGGAGAGAGTGTAGAGGAGAGAGTGTAGAGGAGAGAGTGTAGAGGAGAGAGTGTAGAGGAGAGAGTGTAGAGGAGAGAGTGTAGAGGAGAGAGTGTAGAGGAGAGAGTGTAGAAGAGAGAGTGTAGAGGAGAGAGTGTAGAGGAGAGAGTGTAGAGGAGAGAGTGTAGAGGAGAGAGTGTAGAGGAGAGAGTGTAGAGGAGAGAGTGTAGAGGAGAGAGTGTAGAGGAGAGAGTGTAGAGGAGGAGAGTGTAGAGGAGAGAGTGTAGAGGAGAGAGTGTAGAGGAGAGAGTGTAGAGGAGAGAGTGTAGAGGAGAGAGTGTAGAGGAGAGAGTGTAGAGGAGAGAGTGTAGAGGAGAGAGTGTAGAGGAGAGAGTGTAGAGGAGAGAGTGTAGAGGAGAGAGTGTAGAGGAGAGAGTGTAGAGGAGAGAGTGTAGAGGAGAGAGTGTAGAGGAGAGAGTGTAGAGGAGAGAGTGTAGAGGAGAGAGTGTAGAGAGAGAGTGTAGAGGAGAGAGTGAGAGAGAGATGTGAGAGAGAGTGTAGAGAGAGTGTAGAAGAGAGAGTGTAGAGGAGAGAGTGTAGAGAGAGAGTGTAGAGGAGAGAGTGTAGAGGAGAGAGTGTAGAGGAGAGAGTGTAGAGAGAGAGTGTAGAGGAGAGAGTGTAGAGGAGAGAGTGTAGAGGAGAGAGAGTGTAGAGGAGAGAGTGTAGAGGAGAGAGTGTAGAGGAGAGAGTGTAGAAGAGAGAGTGTAGAGGAGAGAGTGTAGAGGAGAGAGTGTAGAGGAGAGAGTGTAGAGGAGAGAGTGTAGAGAGAGAGTGTAGAGGAGAGAGTGTAGAGAGAGAGTGTAGAAGAGAGAGTGTAGAAGAGAGAGTGTAGAAGAGAGAGTGTAGAAGAGAGAGTGTAGAAGAGAGAGTGTAGAAGAGAGAGTGTAGAAGAGAGAGTGTAGAGGAGAGAGTGTAGAAGAGAGAGTGTAGAGGAGAGAGTGTAGAGTAGGAGAGAGTGTAGAAGAGAGAGTGTAGAAGAGAGAGTGTAGAGGAGAGAGTGTAGAGGAGAGAGTGTAGAGGAGAGAGTGTAGAGGAGAGAGTGTAGAGGAGAGAGTGTAGAGGAGAGAGTGTAGAAGAGAGAGTGTAGAGGAGAGAGTGTAGAAGAGAGAGTGTAGAGGAGAGAGTGTAGAGGAGAGAGTGTAGAAGAGAGAGTGTAGAGGAGAGAGTGTAGAAGAGAGAGTGTAGAAGAGAGAGTGTAGAGGAGAGAGTGTAGAAGAGAGAGTGTAGAGGAGAGAGTGTAGAGGAGAGAGTGTAGAGGAGAGAGTGTAGAGGAGAGCGTGTAGAGGAGAGAGTGTAGAAGAGAGAGTGTAGAGGAGAGAGTGTAGAGGAGAGAGTGTTATGGAGCGATAGAACGAGACAGATTCTGAAAGATGGAAGAGCAACGATAGAGACATCATCATGAGCAACAGCTACTCTTCCTTTTGTGGAAACATTCAAATAAAACAAACTTTATGAAGTAACGGTTGTTGTTGACGTTTGGTGAAAGGTAACGGTGAATCTTTCTTTTTTCTGTGGCAGTGTCGGAATAAATCCTTGAGCGATGTTTGTTTGTGGAGCAGGTTTCAGAGGTGGAGATGGAGAACGACTTGAACCCAGTGCAGGAGGACGAGGGCCCCAACGCAGTGGCCCAGTTAGCCAGGAAGGTACGTCTGCTACGATCTGCTGTGTTTACAGTGACCTTTGACCTGTGACCTTTGACCTTTGACCTGTGCTGCAGATGCAGGGAGCTGGGACCAAGAGCTGGAACAGACTCTCCACTTTATTCAGCCAAGAGGATGAGCAGGAGCTGCTGGAGGAGACGGAGAGTCCTCCAGTCCCCGACCAGTGAGTCTGCGGTTCACATAAACATGTGGGAGGTGATGTCACATGTTTCTTCTCATTCACAGTCCTCTGGCCGTGAAGCCCGAGGAGCCTCCTCGACCCTCGCGCCGCACTGCATTCTGGGACAGCTTTGCCACAAACTGGGCAGCCAAGAAACAGGCGGAGGCTGCAGCAGCCAATGAGGCGGCAGCATCAGGGCAGGAGGGGGAGGGGGTGGAGGAGGGAGGGGGGCAGCAGTCCCAGGACCCCCCCATCTCCGAGGAGACCCAAGAAGAGGGCGGAGCCACAACCAACAGATTCTCCAAATATGTGTCTCTGGGGGGCGGGGCCGGGGGCGGGGCCAGCGGCAGCGAGGACGCCTCCTTCAAGTGGAACTTTGTCACCAGTAAACTGGCCGACCTGAAGACCAAGAGCATGACCAAGACCAACTAGAGCCGATCCAGGCCAAGACCAACTAGAGCCGATCCAGGCCAAGACCAACTAGAGCCGATCCAGACCGAGAGCATGACCAAGACCAACTAGGGCCGATCCAGACCAAGAGCATGACCAAGACCAACTAGAGCCGATCCAGGCCAAGACCAACTAGAGCCGATCCAGGCCAAGACCAACTAGAGCCGATCCAGACCGAGAGCATGACCAAGACCAACTAGAGCCGATCCAGACCAAGAGCATGACCAAGACCAACTAGAGCCGATCCAGACCAAGAGCATGACCAAGACCAACTAGAGCCGATCCAGGCCAAGACCAACTAGAGCCGATCCAGACCGAGAGCATGACCAAGACCAACTAGGGCCGATCCAGACCAAGAGCATGACCAAGACCAACTAGAGCCGATCCAGGCCAAGACCAACTAGGGCCGATCCAGACCGAGAGCATGACCAAGACCAACTAGAGCTGATCTAGAGACCAAGAGCATGACCAAGACCAACTAGAGCCGATCCAGGCCAAGACCAACTAGGGCCGATCCAGACCGAGAGCATGACTAAGACCAACTAGGGCCGATCCAGTTCAAGATCATGACCAAGACCAACTAGAGCCGATCCAGACCGAGAGCATGACCAAGACCAACTAGAGCTGATCTAGAGACCAAGAGCATGACCAAGACCAACTAGAGCCGATCCAGACCAAGACCAACTAGAGCCGATCCAGGCCAAGACCAACTAGAGCCGATCCAGGCCAAGACCAACTAGAGCCGATCCAGACCGAGAGCATGACCAAGACCAACTAGGGCCGATCCAGACCAAGAGCATGACCAAGACCAACTAGAGCCGATCCAGACCAAGAGCATGACCAAGACCAACTAGAGCCGATCCAGGCCAAGACCAACTAGAGCCGATCCAGACCGAGAGCATGACCAAGACCAACTAGGGCCGATCCAGACCAAGAGCATGACCAAGACCAACTAGAGCCGATCCAGGCCAAGACCAACTAGGGCCGATCCAGACCGAGAGCATGACCAAGACCAACTAGAGCTGATCTAGAGACCAAGAGCATGACCAAGACCAACTAGAGCCGATCCAGGCCAAGACCAACTAGGGCCGATCCAGACCGAGAGCATGACTAAGACCAACTAGGGCCGATCCAGTTCAAGATCATGACCAAGACCAACTAGAGCCGATCCAGACCGAGAGCATGACCAAGACCAACTAGAGCTGATCTAGAGACCAAGAGCATGCCCAAGACCAACTAGAGCCGATCCAGACCAAGACCAACTAGAGCCGATCCAGGCCAAGACCAACTAGAGCCGATCCAGGCCAAGACCAACTAGAGCCGATCCAGACCGAGAGCATGACCAAGACCAACTAGGGCCGATCCAGACCAAGAGCATGACCAAGACCAACTAGAGCCGATCCAGACCAAGAGCATGACCAAGACCAACTAGAGCCGATCCAGGCCAAGACCAACTAGGGCCGATCCAGACCGAGAGCATGACCAAGACCAACTAGAGCCGATCCAGACCAAGACCAACTAGAGCCGATCCAGGCCAAGACCAACTAGAGCCGATCCAGGCCAAGACCAACTAGAGCCGATCCAGACCGAGAGCATGACCAAGACCAACTAGGGCCGATCCAGACCAAGACCAACTAGAGCCGATCCAGGCCAAGACCAACTAGAGCCGATCCAGACCGAGAGCATGACCAAGACCAACTAGGGCCGATCCAGACCAAGAGCATGACCAAGACCAACTAGAGCCGATCCAGGCCAAGACCAACTAGGGCCGATCCAGACCGAGAGCATGACCAAGACCAACTAGAGCCGATCCAGACCAAGACCAACTAGAGCCGATCCAGGCCAAGACCAACTAGAGCCGATCCAGGCCAAGACCAACTAGAGCCGATCCAGACCGAGAGCATGACCAAGACCAACTAGGGCCGATCCAGACCAAGAGCATGACCAAGACCAACTAGAGCCGATCCAGGCCAAGACCAACTAGGGCCGATCCAGACCGAGAGCATGACCAAGACCAACTAGAGCCGATCCAGACCAAGACCAACTAGAGCCGATCCAGGCCAAGACCAACTAGAGCCGATCCAGGCCAAGACCAACTAGAGCCGATCCAGACCGAGAGCATGACCAAGACCAACTAGGGCCGATCCAGACCAAGACCAACTAGAGCCGATCCAGGCCAAGACCAACTAGAGCCGATCCAGACCGAGAGCATGACCAAAACCAACTAGGGCCGATCCAGACCAAGAGCATGACCAAGACCAACTAGAGCCGATCCAGGCCAAGACCAACTAGAGCCGATCCAGGCCAAGACCAACTAGAGCCGATCCAGACCGAGAGCATGACCAAGACCAACTAGAGCCGATCCAGACCAAGAGCATGACCAAGACCAACTAGAGCCGATCCAGACCAAGAGCATGACCAAGACCAACTAGAGCCGATCCAGGCCAAGACCAACTAGAGCCGATCCAGACCGAGAGCATGACCAAGACCAACTAGGGCCGATCCAGACCAAGAGCATGACCAAGACCAACTAGAGCCGATCCAGGCCAAGACCAACTAGGGCCGATCCAGGCCGAGAGCATGACCAAGACCAACTAGAGCTGATCTAGAGACCAAGAGCATGACCAAGACCAACTAGAGCCGATCCAGGCCAAGACCAACTAGGGCCGATCCAGACCGAGAGCATGACTAAGACCAACTAGGGCCGATCCAGACCAAGATCATGACCAAGACCAACTAGAGCCGATCCAGACCGAGAGCATGACCAAGACCAACTAGAGCTGATCTAGAGACCAAGAGCATGACCAAGACCAACTAGAGCCGATCCAGACCAAGACCAACTAGAGCCGATCCAGGCCAAGACCAACTAGAGCCGATCCAGGCCAAGACCAACTAGAGCCGATCCAGACCGAGAGCATGACCAAGACCAACTAGGGCCGATCCAGACCAAGAGCATGACCAAGACCAACTAGAGCCGATCCAGGCCAAGACCAACTAGGGCCGATCCAGACCGAGAGCATGACCAAGACCAACTAGAGCCGATCCAGACCAAGACCAACTAGAGCCGATCCAGGCCAAGACCAACTAGAGCCGATCCAGGCCAAGACCAACTAGAGCCGATCCAGACCGAGAGCATGACCAAGACCAACTAGGGCCGATCCAGACCAAGACCAACTAGAGCCGATCCAGGCCAAGACCAACTAGAGCCGATCCAGGCCAAGACCAACTAGAGCCGATCCAGACCGAGAGCATGACCAAGACCAACTAGGGCCGATCCAGACCAAGAGCATGACCAAGACCAACTAGAGCCGATCCAGGCCAAGACCAACTAGGGCCAATCCAGACCGAGAGCATGACCAAGACCAACTAGAGCCGATCCAGACCAAGACCAACTAGAGCCGATCCAGGCCAAGACCAACTAGAGCCGATCCAGGCCAAGACCAACTAGAGCCGATCCAGACCGAGAGCATGACCAAGACCAACTAGGGCCGATCCAGACCAAGAGCATGACCAAGACCAACTAGAGCCGATCCAGGCCAAGACCAACTAGGGCCGATCCAGACCGAGAGCATGACCAAGACCAACTAGAGCCGATCCAGACCAAGACCAACTAGAGCCGATCCAGGCCAAGACCAACTAGAGCCGATCCAGGCCAAGACCAACTAGAGCCGATCCAGACCGAGAGCATGACCAAGACCAACTAGGGCCGATCCAGACCAAGACCAACTAGAGCCGATCCAGGCCAAGACCAACTAGAGCCGATCCAGGCCAAGACCAACTAGAGCCGATCCAGACCGAGAGCATGACCAAGACCAACTAGGGCCGATCCAGACCAAGAGCATGACCAAGACCAACTAGAGCCGATCCAGGCCAAGACCAACTAGGGCCGATCCAGACCGAGAGCATGACCAAGACCGACTAGGGCCGATCCAGACCAAGAGCATGACCAAGACCAACTAGAGCCGATCCAGACCAAGAGCATGACCAAGACCAACTAGGGCCAATCCAGACCAAGAGCTTGACCTAGACCAACTAGGGCCGATCCAGACCGAGAGCATGACCAAGACCAACTAGGGCCAATCCAGACCAAGAGCATGACCAAGACCAACTAGGGCCGATCCAGACCAAGATCATGACCAAGACCAACTAGAGCCGATCCAGACCGAGAGCATGACCAATACCAACTAGGGCCAATCCAGACCAAGAGCATGACCAAGACCAACTAGGGCCGATCCAGACCAAGATCATGACCAAGACCAACTAGAGCTGATCTAGACCAAGAGCATGACCAAGACCAACTAGAGCCGATCTAGACCAAGACCAAATAGAGCCGATCTAGACCGAGACCAACTAGGGCCGATCTGAAGACCAAGAGCATGACCAAGACCAACTAGAGCGAGGTCTGATCCTCCGTGTTCAGTGCTGCTGACCCTGAAGTCCACACTTTACTTTAAGCCTCATCACAGTGACACCAGTGAAGACAATCCAAAGACCTGGAGATTCTCCACCTGCGGTTAATCCAAACAGGATTATGAGATTAGGACAGTTAATCCAAGCAGGATTATGAGATTAGGACAGTTAATCCAAGCAGGATTATGAGATTAGGACAGTTAATCCAAGCAGGATTATGAGATTAGGACAGTTAATCCAAACAGGATTATGAGATTAGGAGCCCTGATAGCGGCTCACTGTCAGATTATCTCAGGTCTCAGCTCTTCAGGCTCACACTTGTATAAGATATTCACACTCGTCTAAAGTGAAAGATAAGATTATTGAGGTATCAGGATTATTTATGTTCACTCTGGGAAATGTCTTTATCTGAGAAAATGTGTGTTTGAAACATTCTTGTGTTTTGTGGAATGTTGTAATAAAGTTTATTACACTCAAGAAAAAAGAGGAACTTCAGGTTTTTGAGCAGACACTATTTCTCTGGAGTAGAATTTGTACCATTTCCTCCTTCAGCCCAAATATTAAGAGTTTTT